CAATTCATCTACCTATTGAGTACCGCAAACACTGCAAAACTAAAAAGACGTACCTAACAAAAGAAAGAGGTAGTTAACAAGGAGTATAAATACGAGCAACCAACAAAAATTATGCAGAACGAAAAATGACACTGAAGATGGCACAACGCCGAAACCGGTTTGTCTCCAAACCAAATTTGACAAGGGATGACGGAAATTCGTTCCATAATACAACTATTTTTAAAATAGTTTTCCTTGTGATGAGATGGTTTATTTTGTGGGAGTTAACAATTATTTGTAATTCTTTTTCGAAAACTTATGTTAAGAAATATTTCGTAAGGTGTTAAACATCGGGTTTTTGCAAAAAGTAAAATTTTATTGCGGATTCCGATAGAATTCCTATCCAGATATAATAATGTGTGACACGATTTTTCTTTAAGGCGACAAACCCCTAGAAATGGGCGTGGCAATTGCAGGACTAAAATTAGCAAAACGCAGATTTTATTGCGGATTTCGGCAGAATATCGCTTCGTTAACGAAATTTTTCAATCCATAGAGATATTCTGGCGAAATCCACAATAAAGTCAAAATTTTTTAACTTTGGTTTTAATATAGCCACGCTTATTTCTAGAATATTCTTATTCAAAAAGTTCCACTGTTAATAGCTAAGTTAGCTTTAGGAAAATCTTGACCATCTTATATACAGAAATATTAGGCCGGTTTCTTTAGCTTTAAAACGACGTTCAGATGAAGTCTCAACGATGGGCAGAACCCGATCATATCTCCAAAGAAAAAAGCGAAAAAAAATCCTCGAACACGTGTTAGCTTATTTCATGTATAGAATCCATAAAAAAAAATTTGAAGCCAATCGAAAGTGTGACACCAAATTTGGTGTTGGTGTCCGATATGAAAAATAATGTCTCATATGGGGTCGCGGTAAATATATCTCCATTTCTAAATCGCGACCTTTTTTCACAAAATATTGCAACCATGAAGCATTGCGGGACGGTACGGGAAGCGAGACGATATGTAATCATGCATAATAGTTCGATTTTCATCACATTTTTTAATAAAAACACATCAACCTCTCATTTTTGCTCAGCAGCGCTCATTGTTGTTTATATTTTGTTTTTGACGTTTCTCCTCCGCCCAATACTAATAATGTTAAACAGAGTAAATACAATGGATTGTAAGCTCTTGTTGGCCCAATTTTGTATCGGACCACAAGTCGGACGTGTTTCTTAAAAAAAATTATGTCATGTCTCCCATTCGCTTGAAATTTTTTTCATGGGTTCTATACATGACATAAGCTAACACGTATTCGAGGATCTTTTTTCTTTGGTTTTCTTCGGAGATATGTTTTGTCAAAGCTCGATTTTTTTCGTGATTCTGTACTTCTTCAAATCGTTATATCTCGGGTGCTACTCACCCTCTAACACCTTAACGTCGTTTTAAAGCTAAGGAAATGGGCTTAACATTTCTATTTGTATATGTATAAGATGGTCAGGATTGCTCTGAAGATAACTTAGCTATTAACAGTTGAACTTTTTATAGTTGATTTGCGTAGTGAAGACGAGTAAATTAGGGATTTAAAATTACAACATCGTAACCCTTGTTCAATTCTGACTGTGGGTTTTTGCAAACGTTTAAATTTATTGCAGATTCCGATAGAATACCTGTCTAGAAATAATATTTGTGCGTTTTTTTAACTTTACTCCTACAATCACCTCACCAATTTCCAGGGGTTTGTCGCCTTAAAGAAAAATCTTTCCGCACAAATATTATTTCTGGATAGGTATTCTATCTGAATCCGCAATAAAATTTACATTTTTGCAAAGACCCGATTTTTAACACCTTGCTAAATATACATATCGTAAAGTACAAAACCGCATATCAAGATAATTCAAAACCGCGTATGTGAGGTTGCATAAATTATTTTG